CTGTGCTGGGCTGGGCTATGGGCACCCCTCTGCTCCCCTCATGGAAAACACGGGGAGGAATGAAACCCACATGGTCAGAACACTACGTTGTGTTGGGTCCTTTGCGCTGTGGTGGGGAGCTGCAGTCCCAGCAGCCCTTTTGAGCTGATCCTTGTTCTGGCATGGGTCCATGGTGGCTGGTCCCATGTTGTGCCCCTGGACCCAGTTCCAGCCACTGGACAAGCCGGGCTGGGGAGGACAGGGGTCCCTGAGCAGGACACAGTGGGGACATGTCGGTGGGGGCAGGATGGGTTCCCACTGCCACAGGCGCTGCTGACTTCCAGACATTCCTCCTGTGCGTGGCCGGCACCACCTCGGCTCATAACGTGATTAAAAGATTAAAATCTCTCAGCTCAGCAGCAAGCAGCAAATGAAGCTTGAGACAAGGATGTTGGGGGGCTGTGGTGCTTGAAGCCCCCGTGACAGTGATGTGGTGCCTCAGGAAGGGCAGCTGAGGCCATCTGGGCTGGTGGCCCTGGTGCCACAGCCCTTGCTCCCAAAATCTCCTCCTGTCCTCGGTGCCGCCAGGCAGTGAGCCCTGATCCCCCCTGCCTCCTTCTCAGTTACCGGCCAGGCTGGTTTGTTTGTGGTGGTTTTGCCTCCCTCCTGGCCCTGCTGCCCAGGCTGGCGTCCTGCTCTCCCCACGGTGCCTGAGCTGTCTCAGGGTTGAGGTGAGCTGGGGGTGGCCAGCCTTTGGGTGGGCAGGATGTACAGTGGGCAGGTGACATCCTGGGCAGAGCTTGACTATGTTTGCAGTCTGCTGGCACCTGCTGAGGGTGCACCAAAACTTCAGTCCTTGTTCCACTCCAGGAGCTGCCTCCGCCTGGATCCCCTGCAGCTCAGCTGTCTGGGCACAGCCAGGCTCCAGGACGAGGGCCTTGGCACAGGGCTCTGCCTGGGCCATGGTGTTCAGCCATGCCAGTAGCCCCCAGGCCATCCCCGGGGAGCTGAAGGCTCAGTGCCAGCGCCGCAGCCCTCGTGCTGTGCCCCCACCCATTTGCTGCCTGTGATGTGACCTGTTTTGTGGGAGAACATTGGTGCCACCGGGGCTTCTGGTCAGTCTCCAGGAGCAGCAGGGAGGTGCAGGGACATGGTGTGATGAGGGGACACAGGTGCCCAGGCTAACAGTTCCTAGCAGCTGTGGGAAAGGGCTGGGCAGCGGGTGCTGGGCGGTGGCGGTGGCCGGAGGGAAGGGAGGGGAGCCATGGGCTCAGTGCCGCAGCTGACTCACTCACCAGTGGAAACAGAAATCTTTCCCAGGCTTGCACCACCAGCTCCACAGCACCCCGGCCTCACCATGGCAGCCCCTCGGGTTGGCGGGGTGCCCCTTCTCTGGCAGCACACATGGCATGGCACGGCATGGCATGGCACAGAGCAGGGGGCTCTCACGGCTGGCTCTGCTCAGCCTGATGCTTTCTCCATCTCCCTGGGGATGCACAGCCAGGCTGGCTGGCAGCCCAGAGCCCCAGCATGCAGCAGCCCCAGCCCCAGGAGCCCCGGAGTCACCTTTGCCGGGGAGCCCCCAGGACGGCGGGAGCAGAGCCCTGCGGCGCAGCGCCTGCGTCCAGACACTGCCCGTATTCATGGAGCAGCAGGACCAGGGCAGTGTGGGGGCAAATCCTCCCCCAGACTGGCCAACAAAACAGGCATTCAGGGCCGGGCGCGGGCGGCCGCCCTGGACAGACCGAGGCCATCCACGAGGCCAGCAGGACGCGGCATTTTCCTGCCAGGCCTCACAGCGTGGGGCTTGTGGTCACCAGATGCACCAGACACGCTGCTCGCACGCAGCCACGCAGGGCCAGCTCTTCCAGCATGCCTGCCCGGGGCAAGGCACAGCCCAGGGTGCTGGGATGCGCCCAGGTGGTCGCTCCCAAACTCCCCACACCACAAAGCACTTGGCATGTCCCTCCGTGTCCCCCTCCCCACACGTCCCACTGTGCAGAAACCAGGGACAGCCCTGTGGTAGCGCACGGGGCAGCAGCCAAGGACTGTCCTGAGGGAAGAAGGTGACAGGGGCAATGCCAGGAGTGTTAGGAGATCTGGGGATTGCATCCATCACAGCAAACACCAGCCAAGGGAGGTGGGTCCTAGGCTTTCCTTGGAAATATTTGGTTTACAGTTGGACTCAATCTTGAGGGTCTTCTCCATCCTAACAGACTGATTATACAGCTCACGTCTGCCTCTGCCCCCTCTGCTGCCCCTCCTCCCCCAGCCCCCAGGCCCTGCCCCAGATGCAGAATTAGGTCCAGGAGTGGGTGCTGCCAGCTCCCACACACACCATCCGCTCCGGGCCGGTCCTGCTGTGCTGGCCAGAAACATCTGGTCCTGTTGGATGCATTCCAGGGCGCAGGGCCAGCTCTCCCTCTGCAGCAGCACCAGCCCTGGGCTGTGCCCTGCAGCCAGCCAGCAGCTGCTCCTCTGTCCTCACCCCCACCCGGGAAATTATTTATTTGTTGAAGAACATCTTTTCCCAGGAAACCTCTCCAGTGCTGAGGGATATCTTCAATTACAAGGAGCAAATAAACAGTTTGAGCCTCCAAGGTTCTGGTGCTCGGCAAACACCGGTGCTAAACCCAGGGCTGGCGTCGGCAGCTGCGCAGGGTCAGTGCTGCAGCACGGCGGGGTCCCTGCAACCAACCCCACAGCCAGGCAGTGCAGTGCCACAGGGGGACAGGGGCCACACTGCCTCAGGGGCACAGGGGAGACCCTCTGTGGTCCCCATAGGCAGTGCAACACTGGGATGCTCTGGGGAGTGCATGACCCTGAGCTGGGAGTTCTGCCACTGGCCTCCCTTCTGCTGGGGACCAGCAAGGCTGGAGAGTGTTCACTCAGCCCTGACAGCAGCAGCTTCTGCCAGGGAGCTGGGGAAGCACGGCACCCTCTGGGGCTGGCTGGTGAAGTGGGAACCAGCACAGACCACCAGAGACCCTGGCCAGGACAGGCCCTGCCTTGCTCTCACAGCAGGAACAAGAGTGTTCTCCACGTGTGCCCTGGAGGAAGCCCATCACTTCACCTTTGAATCGTCTCAATCAGTCTGTTGTTCCTGGTCACTTAAAGGGCTGCTTGTCTGTAGGGTGTCTCCTGTAACAGGACAGGGCAGCTCTGATGGAAGGGCTGGATTTTTTGGTTTTGTCACACAGCTATGGAGTAATTCAGCCCCAGGATTTAGTGCAGTGCCAGAAACATGTTCACCTCCTCAAATGGCTGCTGTGGGCTGTGCTCAAACTGAAGCTGTTCTCCAGTACTGCCTCCTACTTCAGCATGGGGGTGTCTCCTGGATGTTCAGTGCCTGTTTAGTTAATGTTTCTCCCATTTTTGTGTTTCCCACCCTCTTGTTACTGATTGTCAAGCCAGTGATCTGTACTGACTGGATCTTTGAGACAGCAGATCCTCTCAGCAGAGCAGCTGCTCCTGTGGTTGGGGAGGAAGGTGATACCTGGAGCACACCTGATGCTGTCACCAGTCTCTGCAGTGGAGTTCACAGTGTTTGCTTTGTTGTGCTGTCAGGAATGCTGGCAGAGCCACCAGACTCCCCTCAGCTGCACTGCTGGAGCAGAACAGGGCACACACCTCTCCAGAGGGAAGCCCAAACCCAGCCAGGCACCATCTGGCAGGCAGCAGGCACATGCCCCAGCCTGCCCCATTCCTGGCACAGGGGCTCAGCCCCTCTCCTGTCTCCTTCTGGCATCAGGCTCCCAGGATAGGAGTGTGTGGATCTGGGATCCTCACAGGGGGTGCTCCAGCTCCTGGGGGGCTGTGTGTGCTGGACAAGAAGCTCAGGCTCCCCCTGGAACAGTTCTGTCAGCCAGGGCAGGACACTGAGACGTGGAGACACAGCCCTCTGAAAGCCTGCCTGCCTTCCTGGGAACTCGAGTGTGGGCCAAGGAGCCGGTTCCCACATGCAGCTCGCCATCCCCTGGCACGCTCTGGCAGCCTGGCCCAGAGCTGTGCCAGCCCAGGCCCGCTCGCTGCCAGACACGTCCCATCCACCTCAGGCTCCAAACAAAGCCATGGCACAGCCCAGGTGACATCACAGCACGGCCACCCCTCGCCATGCCACCATATAGGGGAAATTCCCTGCGCTGCACGTGATCAGGCCTCTGGATAAAACCAGATTGAGGCTTAAAAAACCTTAATTGAGGGAGCAGAATTAAGATTTTTCCTAAACAGAATCTGGATCCAATCTAGGAACTCCCTAATGGATAGGGATTCTTTTATGTTCGAATGCATTGGCTGCACTAACACAAACCATGAGTACTGCAGTCCTCACGCTCCAGCAGCACTGTGGAACTCTTCCTCACAATCAGGACCAAAAAAGGCTTTTGGAATTGCAGCTCCATCTGAGTCCCAAAGAACTCCATGGGGGACAAAGACAAACCATTTAACCCATGCTGTGCTTTGCAGGTATAAAGAAGTGTGGAATTGTGAGGCCACAGATGCCCTGGGAGTTCAGCAGTATCACCCCTGGAGCTCAGACCTTTATCACACCCTGAGCTCAGTGACACCCACAGAACACCTGGCCTAAAACTATTCCCCACCCCAGGGGGTTCTCAGGAGCTATGAGCTTCCCAGGGATCTGAACCAAGTGCTGACAAGTTTCCATGAAATCCTGTAAAATCAGCTAATTAATTTGTTTCTAGTAACACTTAAACAATGGCACAAGATAAAACTTTAAACTATGATAGACAGTGATAAGTATCGACTACCAACATTTGTGAAAAGCTTCCATTTTACATCCATCTCAGGTTAAATACTTCTTACATGTTTGGTTGAACCAACCACCCAGATCTGTACTCATTCACTGCCTCACTCCTCAGAGGAAAATAAACTGCCAAGTCTGTATTTTCATTAGCAGTCACAGTTCAGACACTTTCTGTGAATCCTCCCATTTCCCTCCATTAAGCTGATGACTCCTTTATGGCCTCTTTACCCACCACTACCAAAGAAACCACCAGTGACACTTCCAAACCAAACTCCATTTAATGAGCCATCCCCAGCCCCCCAGCCTGGAGCTGCAGCTTGCTCAGGGCTATGCCTTGATAGCAAATTTCCGGGCCGGGTATAATCGTTCCTTTCGCTGCTGCTTCTTGGTCTTCAGGTTCTCCTCGTGCTTGTTGAGCCTGCGCCGCATGGCCCGAGTCTTCTTGGGCCGCAGATCCAGGGGTTTGTACTTCTTGCCCTGTTTGCAAAGACATGCAGCAGCTGAGCTCAGACACTGCTCTGGGCTGGGCTCCTGCCACAGCACCAGCACCACTGTCTAAGCCTCTTGGCATTGTCAATGCAGTCTGGAAGTGTAGGAGACTCCACTGAGAAACACGAGTGAATTCTAACTTTTGCAGCAGCTCTGACTCAAGTTTAAGTAATGTCTAATCTTACAAGCTCCAGTTATCCAGCACCTCTTGAGAAGTTCTTTTTTCCCCCACCCAATATGATCTAATTCAAACTCAAGGAAGCAGTATTCTAAAAATTACAGAACCTTATGGAATTAAATTATTTCTTGGTCACCTACAAGATGATTAAATTCCAAACAAAAGAGTACATGCACTTCTACAGACAACATCTCCCCACAAGTTCACCCCACCCCACAGAAGGGATGCTGCCAGAAGACTCCTGCAAAAGCAGACTCACACCAAGCTTGCAGAATTCTTGCACTAATATTTAAAAAGCAACCATGACCAGAGAACTTTAAATTGAACATAAACGATAGCTTTTCATCAAGTTTTAAGCTTTTAAGTAGCAATCCTTCCCATAAACTTTGTGACTGTGAACAGCAAGAGCGTAAAAGCCACTTACAGAAGACGTTTGTCCTTACCTTGTAGAACTTTCTCAAGTTCTCCTTCTGGGTCTGGTTGATGACAGTCAACACTCTGGCAATGGATTTGCGCACCACACGGCTGCAGGTGGGAAAGAGGAATCTCAGGACACCCTGCAGGACCACGGATCAAACCCGGGGCACAGAAACCGCGTGTGCTCCGGTCCCTTACACTGTGCCACACTACAGCCAACCCCGGCAGCGCCCGGCTCATCTCCGCTCAACATCTCTGAGCACCGACCCTCAGGCCTACTGAGAGGTGCTCCTCTTCCACGCTGGTTTGTTTTTGTTTTTTTACAGCCCACAATAACCACAGCCCGCGAGAGCAGCTCTCAGACACGGCGCAGTCGGCGGCCCCTGCCCATCTCCCCTCGCCCCCGGCCCCACTCACATCTTGGACAGCTTGGAGGCGGCCCCGCCGGTCACTTTGGCCACGCGCAGCTGCGACAGCTCCACCTTCAGATCGTCCAACTGCTTCAGCAGCTCCTCCTTCTTCTTCCCGCGCAGATCTCGGGCCTTGATCTTGGCCTGCGGACGGCGGACAGGCCGTCAGCACCCCCCCGCGACCCCCGGGCCCGCATCCCGCCCTCCCTCAGCCCCCGCAGCGCCAATATGCGGGCCCAGGCCCCGCTGGGAGGTGGGC